TTCAAATGTATATATGTATTTAGAAAGATCCAGCTCTAAATGATGTACCTCCATCACCTTGAAATCTAACTCATTTACTTGAAGATCACATAGTTGATGATCATATGAGAGCAGAAGCAACGGATACTGAAACCTAGATAAGGAGAGGTATGAATAAAGATATTCAGGCCATTCTCAAAATGCTAGGATTTGGCATGTTTGAGAGGAAGGCAACATTTTTTTCTCAAGACTTAATTACCCTTATTTATACCTTTGTTGCCTTGAGTTGAAACAACTGACATGTCAGACATCTTCGGTTTCAATTCAGGAACTTCAGCATTCTACAGAACACAGCTACCCATGTTATTTTAAAAATGGCTTCCACTCCGATGCTTTCCTTGTCACTTCTTGTTTCTCCCAGTTCTCTATAATGACTTGAACTCATATACCTTAGGAAAGGATCACAGAATGCAGGAGCAATACTAAGAACAAACAGGTCATTCACATTGAACATATTACCTATGCAACAAGTTTAAACAAGAAGTGTACACAGATGTTTGCAAGCTGCCCCAACATGAGTTGCCCAAAACATTTAACTTCTGAATATTTTCTTGTGTAAAGAAAAAGCATATATGCAAAGTAGACTGCATGACTTCTGACATTTTAATCAGATTTATTTTGCACGTGTTGCAGTGCTGCTGTGGTTTTCTGACACCCCCACACCCACGGATTACTGTTTGGGTTAAAAGGCATTCCCTATCAGTAAAGGCACCCTTTTAATTACAGAAGAGGTATGGAATCTGTGAGGCTTTCCTGAATGGAAGGGGGCATAAGATTTCACCCACGCTGTGCAAACACATCCTTCCATAGGAGATGTCTTCCAACTCTTCAGAGCATTTATTTGAGGGATACCTGGCAATATCCTACTTGTCTGTATAACTTTGGATCCACCCTGTTGTTCGTCAGCATTCTAAAACTCACTACCTGAAATACATTTTTTTTCTGAGCAACCTGAAAATATGTGCTGGTGAATAGAGAGACACAAATCTGTCTTTACCTGAATCACTCTTTCAAAATGCCTGCTCTACATTAGAGGAGTTCCATTAATGATTTTATGCCATTATAACTGATGAAAGAGGTGGTACCTCCCTAGATAAGCCTTGCATATAATTTCAGCATGTTACTCTCAGGAGCCATGCAAGTTACTGGGTTTTCAGGCTGTTTGTTCCCGTCAGGAGAGGCTCTGGTGGTCACATCTGCACAGAAGTTTGTTTAAAATGGCAAGCTGAATAAGATCCCTATATTTTTTTATTTTTTGTGCCTTTGAGTCAGTGTTGACTCCTGGTGACTGCCTGGACTAGTCCCTGCAGTTTTCTCGACAAGATTTCTGAAGTGGCTTGCCAGTGGCTTCTTCCCAGGGCTGAGAGTGAGTGACTGGTCCAAGATCACCCAGCTGGCTTTGTGCCTAAGGTGGGACTAGAACTCACGGTCTCCTGGTGTCTAGCCTGGCGCCTTAACCACACCACCAAACTGGCTCTATATCTCTATACTAGGTCCATGCTAATTGATCTTTCCCAATTGGGTACTTATTTTCTTATGGTAAAAAAACACAGGATCAGACTAACAAACATTCTGTCTTGACCTAAGAATGTTCAGTCCTAGCAAACTAAGACATCATTTCTATTTGTTTCTTGAATGGTTAAGCCACTGATGTAGTGGCCAGAAAGGCTTTTTGTACTTTTAAAAGATCTGGTTTGGGATGATGCAGCACTAAAAGGTCCAAACAAATATGTGTCTATGAAAAACTAGAGGGCTCCAGCCTGCAATCATCAGCTATCTAGCTAATTGTTAAGTATGTGCACAGAAAACAGCAAGTTTTAATTTTTAATCTGGAATCTGTTTTTCTTTAGCTAGTATGCCTGACCTCCCGCAGAAATGCAGGAGTTTCAAAAAAAAAACTGCATGGCAGAAGTTGTGACAGGTATAACACTGCATGGCTAATTTTACAACCCAACTGTTAAGAGGTCAAAGAGTTATTCGAAAATTACTCAACCTTTCCCTGTCTAAAATAAAAACTGGTACTATGACAGTCCTAGTTCATCTGCTTTAGATGGGAGCCCAAACCACTAGTTAAAGGATAATTATCCAATCTGAACTTTCTGCCCTTTTAAATTCCAAGGACATTAAATATAAGAACTGGCTTTAGTTTGTTCCCCCCAAATCCCCAAACTGTCAAGGAAAAAAGAATTTCAGGATATACATAGCATCATAGGACAACTAAATGAACATAAAAAAGTGACCTCCAGAAAAGGTAATGGACTGGGGGCACTTTTGAAATATTGCATCTCTGATTGGCTAACATGTGGGTCAGGATCAACTGCAGGAATTCCAAGCATAGAAATGGCACCTTTGGGAGAAGTGGGCATGCCAGTTCTGAAAACTTCTATACAAAGTAACACCTATGTCCAAAGTAGTTTCTGCATGACTGGGGAAAAACTATTACATCCAGGAGAAGAAAAAGTGTGTCCTGAGTTCAAGTAGGATGTCAAAAGCACTTCTTACTTTTGCAAGATATCATACATATCAGCACTTTTGAGAATACCCAAGATGATGCCAAACTGAAGAGGAGGGTCTTGTATAGATCGCTGATAGTAGCAAAAATTGCACTATTGCTTTCTACTGGTATATATAGATACAGGTACTCCTCGGTTAATGACTGGCTCATTCAGTGACAGTTTGAACTTATGACAGCACTGAAAAATTAGATTTACAACTGGTCCTCAAACTTATGGCCATCACAATGTCCCATGGTCACATGATCACTATTTGCGACTTTCACAGCTGGCTACCAACTAGCAAAGTCAATAGGAAAGCTGGCAGGAAGTCACAAGTCATGGCCATGGGACATTGTGGTCACATGAAATCATGCTTAATGACCAGTGATTCACTTAACAACCGCAGCAGAACTGATGTCATAAGTTGGGTGCGGTTACAATGTTTCACTTAATGACTGTGTTGCTTAGCGATGGAGTTGCCAGTCCCAATTGTGGCCGTTAAGTAAGGACTACCTGTACTCCTCTAATAAATTAATAAAAACGAGAATATCCTATTTCTGGGCAGCTGCTCCTATGGATTTGAAAATTATGCGCAAGGAAATATTTTCAGCCATTTTTTAATCAGAGCCTGAAAGAAAATTGAATTAACTCTTGATCTGACTAGGGATTTCAGAACTGGAGCTGAATGGCTTTGATGGCCATAACAGGCTGAGCAGTTTGAGGAATGTCAGAAGTTTAATTCTAAATACCTAAATCATCTTAAACCTCTAAATGGGATTTAAATTAAGGTTTTCCAAGTGCACCAAATAAATTCTAGGGAGCAATCACAGTGAACAGTGTCCTGATCTTTTTGCCTTAGATGAAATTGAACCATGTTTAGGCAAATGCCATTAGCCATGCATCAACTGCTTCCTTATGTCTTTGACATAAACAGTTTTTTTCCTAGTTCTTGCTGAATCTATTCCATTTGTCTATGGACCTGGACAACTGTTTTATATCATGCTCCTTTCTGCAGGGAGGCTGCCTGAAAAAGGCAAATTAATAATATAGAAGGCAAGTAAATATAAAGTAGTATATGAGAGTATTCATGGACTACTCTGCTTCATGCACTGAAGTTGTCAGTGAGCTGAGATTCTAAGTTATAATGCAAAGGCCATTATTAGCATCATGCTGATAGTCTGAGTTGGTTTGGTGAGCTTTGGTGTGTGTGCGTATTCTGTGTGTGTTGGAGGCATTACATCACAGGCTATACTAAATTGCAGAGTCTGGGCATTAGAGCTTTAGCTGTTTTTGTCCTTCTTGCTGTTCTCAATTTACAATGATCCAGTGAAAAATTTTGAAAGGGACTGTTTTGTTCTGAAGTTGAAAAGAAAAATTCCCTTTCCCTTTTTGGGCATAACCCTTGGAAAAGCTCCTTAAGATAGAGATCATCATGAAGCAAAAACGATTCTCCTTCCCTTCCTTCCCTTCATTAAAATAGCCTTTTCCAATAAGCATGTTAAACCAAGTCCTTTTGTCTCTCTTTAGACCACATCATTCCTCTCAGGATTTCTATAACTATAATGGGAAATCCTAGAACAAAAGGTGGGTTAAACCAAATAAGCAAAAAATAACTGTAAGCCTAAAATATTATTTCATAATAATATTTTGAGGAAGCAGATATATGAAATTGCTGCAGTCTGGAAAACACCACACTCAGAAATTTGTTTTCTTTATCAGTAATTATTTAGGAATGACAAATCTAAGAACACTAAAGACTAAGATTAAATAACAGAGTTTGCATTACAAGAATACTTCAGAATAGTATGCATATAGGATCCTGATTTATTTTACAAAAGAAGGAACAAAATGGCATGATTTTAAGCAATTGTGCATTTCATCAATTATAATTAAGCAAAATGATACTGAATAATTGTTTTAGTGTTTAAAGCTTAGTTCAGCCTATTTGGTATTATGATGCCAAGAAACAGTAAATAGGAAACAGTAACTAAGCTAGGTGATTAATATTTAATGTATTTTAAAAATGTACACACTGTTTTAGTTTAAACCACGAAGAAATTAAAGCACACAAATTATATGAAAAATGGAAAAAGTATCTTTCTTTACATTGTTATTTTGAATTAGAAAGTTCAGGACGTTGTATGCTGTATTGTTAATCTGCCCAGATCTATTGTTTTCTATCCAGTTGGGTCGAGAACAGTATATGTGGGCAGATACCAAACTAAATAACAAAACTCAGAATGGCATGCATATTTCTCCCACTATTTTACTGAACGTAAATGTTGCACCCCATCTGCCTCCCAGTCATAGTGCATTCACATTTCATATGGGAGGGATTCATTCTGATGACCAGAATTGGTGTTTTATTCAGTTCTAAGGCCTTTAAGTATCACTTCAGATACCAATAGGTAGTGTTTCAGATATTAGTTGTGTATCAACAAGCACTGGTAACTTTAGATTTCCACAAGATGTATGTAACACATTTGTCAGTTTGATTAAGATTTCTCAATAGTCCAAAGGAATAAAAGACAAAAACAAATTTAAAATTCAAGACTAACAGAAACAAACTTAAATGGCATTTAAATGACATCACAGCTTTATAGCATATACTCAAAAAATAGCTCTCTTTAATTTTTCCTTCATAAAATTAGCTGTTGTGCCTATGTACAAATGAACTTAACTATAAGTCAATTAGATTTGCAGAAATTCCAAATCCTGTTTTATATTACTTCTTTCAATATTGGCAAAGGTGAACTTTTCCTAGAATAAAGTCAGAACCAAAAGTGGCATTTTCACAGTTTTACATTGTACACTTTAACCTTCAGGACTGCAGGCTGTCAACCATAATAGAGCGATGGCTCATCATCACTTATATCTGAATCATCTTCGTCCACTTCACCTTCAATGACTGATTTTTTTCCTTTGCAGCATGACACAATTAAACCAATCAAGAAAACCTGTGAATGTACATCAACACACTGTATTACTGGAGGTCAGCTGAGGGAAGTAACAGATTTATGCGAGGCAATATTGCCACAATGCACATATGATAAGTATAGTTATACCAGAACACTAAGTTGTATTTAAATCATCTTCAAATAAGATTACTTACTGCAATAAAAGCCCAGTTGCCAAAGTAGTATGCAGCATTGAAGAACCAAAATTTGTGCAGAAACAGATATGTCCGAGTAACAGTGCATTGATCTGGGGGGGGGGGAAAAAAGCAGCAGCTAAGAATTGCTCTCAAATGTTAGGAAATGGATTAAAAAAAGGTCATGATACTTCCAATTATACATGGATTCTCTTTTTCAAAAGGACAATTAATTACAACTGAAGTTACTGCTGATACATATACTTATCAAACACCATTCATTTTTCAATCTGAAAGGATGGGAAAGGATCCATAAACACAAGTGTATACAAATGACAATTTGTAAAAATCTACATTTATTAAACTGATTTTTTTCAAAATAGCATGTCTTGCAATTTTATATCTGAAATCTATATATGCTGAATAAGCCTACTCTTTACTCTCAAAAGAATTTGTATGTGTGTGGGTTAAGAAAAAATGGACATTGTTGGCAAACTGCAGTAAGGCTTAGCCACATCTCACAGGCAAGGCCTTGTTCTTCTACCATTTCATTTAGGAGGATAGTATCAGTAGAGTCAACTTACTTCACTGACCCTACTTTCTTAGTCCTCCAGAAGAATTTAAAATGTAGTTTATATATGAAGTGACAATTCTCATAAGCTAGCTAAGAAATAAGTACAGGTAGTCCCCAGGTTAAGAACCTCTGGTTTACAGATGATCCATAGTTAAGAAAGGAACCCACTGTAGCAAAACTCAACACAATGATATGAGTTAAATACACAATGGTTCAAGTTAATTACACAATACCACTTATATAGTATTATACAATAATATTCTTCTGGCTTACATACAAATTCAACTTAAGGACAGAACTTGGGAACAGAATTCATTCTTAAACTGAGGACTATTGTACATAAATTTACATTTGTTCTCAAATACACAGATCTACAGTACAGAATTTAATAGTTAAGATGCAATTTTATAATTTAAATATCAGAACTTGTTTATACTTATATAGGGTTACTTGTATAGGACATGACTGCTCTTTTGTTATATTGGGACTCCTTGAATGAAGGTAGCCAGATATTTTCTGTGGGGTTCAAACCCACTACTGGGAACTGAACTCATCCACCGCCAGCTTTAGATGATTACATATAGTACATTAGCTTTAGCAGCTATCCAGGCCCTGGTACTCAGCAGCACGGCAGGAAGGGATATGTAGGAGCTATCAGAATAGTATATATACTATCCACCTTCCCTTAAGCTCTCAGAGAAATACAGATGTTGCATTATGTCATGCCCCTGCATGTAAGGTTTTACATGATTTTCACCACCATTTGGGGTGGGGTAGGGATTTCTCAAGCTAATGCACTGTATATAGTCATCTAAAGTGTAATGGTCTATGAGTTCAATTCCTGGTAGAGGGTTTGAACCTGACAGAAAAGATCTGGTTATATACATCTGATGAATCCCAATATAGGACCAAGCTGGTCACATATTGCCTCCTGACGGTCTATATAAATAACAACACTACAAAAGATACACAGGTTGTCCTTGAGTTACAACCATTCATTCAGCAACCCTTCAAAGTTATGGTGGCATTGAACTAATGGTACTTATGCCTGGTCTCTGAAATTATGGGTGCTGCAGTGCCCCTGCAGTCACATGATCAAAATTTGGGTGCTTGGCAGCCTGCCTGCACTTACAACCAAAGGAGCGCTTCAATTCCCTCCATTCCCATCTCTACCATTTTGGCCCCCTGTACTCTGTGGCCCCTGCCGCCCTGTGCTCCACCACCCCAGCTGACCTTTGCCATATTCTTGCTCCCACTGCTGACCAAGCACGCCCACCCTGGCCCTTTGCAAGGCAGCTGTTGGACATGCAAGGCTTTCTTCCCGAGGTAGCATACGGCAGTTTCCTCACAGGACCAGGAGAAGGCCTTGCATGGCCAGCAACTGCCTCTTGAAGGGCCAGGTCGGGTATGCCTCATCATCAGCAGGAGCAAGAAGATGGTGAAAGTCAGCTGGGGTGGCAGAGTGTAGGGTGGTAGGGGCCTCGGATTGCAGGGCGGTGAGGGTGTTTGGGCCAGCTGGGGTTTCTAGGGGTGGCTGTGGCTTCATGCCATGGTGCTGGGCCAGGCTGGGGTGGCTGAGGCTTCCTGGGGTGGCTGTGACTTCGCACCGTGCTGCTGGACAGAGCTAGGAGCGGCTGGGGCTTTTGCGTGGTTCTGGGGCTGCATGCCACCCCACAAGGCAGGATGGAAAGCAGCCAGAAAGGGCAGAGATGGGAGGAATAGGCAGTTGGGGTGAGTTGAAAGGAGGCAACCTTGGAAGAACCGAGGCTTAGGGCTGGGAGGGACCAAGTCAGGGATGGCCTGGATCAGGGTGGGTCCTCGATTAACAACTGGTGGTATTCAGTTAATGATGGCAGCAGGGAGTGCCGGATTGCTGTCGCTAAGTGATACAGTCATGTGACATCGAGCTTTATGACCACATCGCTTAGCGTTGGAAATTCCAGTCCCAATTGCCATCGTAATGCAAGGACTACCTGTATGCTATGTAAAAATAGAGAATTCCCTTCCCTCCAAGGTGGGAAAAGTAGAAGTAATCTAAACCTTGTTCATGGAGATCTGACAATCTAACATTCATATCTCCTTCTCTGAGAGCTTAAGGGAAGGTGGACTGTATATATAGCATTCTGATAGATTCAGAACTTAGTTAATGTCTACTTCAAGCCTCAAGAAAAAACATAGCACCCATTCGTCCCCCATCCAACACACCATTCCAAATTACTCATCTGCTTTCACTTTCACAAGTCAACATTGATCTCCAGAATTACCACTAGATTCAGCCACCTGCATCACCTACAATCTATTTTCATAAAATCAAATCAATTGAGTTGGAAGGTATCTTAGAGATCAACTAGTCTAACCCCCTGATTATGTTAACAATCTTTTGGTATTATTCCTTAATACTATCTGCATTCAATTAATGTCCACTCAAAACTGATGCGTTGCTACAGCCTCAGCTTTCTCCATAGCCTCTTGCTGGTCACTCACATATGGGTAGTCCTCATTTAGCAACTGCCTCATTTAGCAACTGTTTGCAGTTACGACGGTTATGTAAAAGTAACTTTATAACCAATTCTCACATTTATGACCTTCTCAGGTTTGTAAAGCCAAGAAAGCTAAAGTTAAGATCATAAGCACAGTCGCAGTTTCACTTAGCAACTGGGTCACTTAGCAACTGGGTTACTTAACAACCAAGTTGCTGGTCCCAAGTATGGTCGCTAAACTAGGACTACCTGTATTTAGTACTCTTATGCTTCAAGAAAATCCTGCCTGACTTTTTCATGTTCTAAAGTACGTTACCTCTCTGGGAAAAGAAAATGCTTGCCTTAGTATCAACAATGCAAATCAAGAGCAAGTTGCTGTTGAGAAGATTAGTGTCATTACGAGTGCACACAACAAAAGCAAGAAAACATGGTCCAAGTGGATCTTCAATATGCTGTGTTAAATGAGGAACATAACTGCCAGAGAATTACATTTGGCGGGTCCCAGGAGGCGGGCCTTCTCTGCCACGGTGCCCGCCTTGTGGAATCTTCTCCCCCCAGAAGTGAGATTAGCTTCATCCTTCTTAACATTCCACAAGTCCCTCAAGTCCTGGCTGTGTGATCAGGCCTGGGGCTCCGAGGGGACCAGGGCGATTTTGCAATGGCTCCCTTATTAATTTTATCCCCTCCTGTTTTGTGTGCTTTTATAGCTTTTTTATTTATAATTGTTTTTATGTATATCTTCTTTTTAATTGTTGTACGCCACTTTGAGTCACTTTGTGTGAGACGGGCGGCTATATAAGTATGATTGATTGACTGAACCCAGAAATCCAAATTAGCTCTGAAAGACAGATAAGGTTGAGAGAGAATGACTGGGCTAAGATCGCTGACAGAGTTTTGTATTTGGGAATTGGAATGTGCTTCTCCATGATTTCTATGGATCACACTGAGCTTGATTTTTCAAGTACCACCATGGGGGGGGGGGGGGGGGGGGG